AATAATATATATATATATATATATATATATATATATATATATATATATCAATGAATGAAAATATTTAATGGAAAGATGCAACAGTGTTGATTTACTTGTATGCACTTACTAGTATTAGGTTCCGGGGAATCGCTCGGGAAAAACTCTCTCGCGGCGTTGGCAGGGTTCGTTCTGAAGGCACCGGGCGTCAGAGGCATCATCGGTTGCGTTAACGTAGGACTCGGTTGATCCTTGACACAAACTTCGCTTAACCTTTGCGCTGCAAGAGCGGTGGGCGTGGCTGGGGGGCTTCCAGTAGTCGCTTGTTGATTATCCTCGTCCGAATCGCTCTTGTAAACCTGGCTCTGTGCACCTTCCGTGTGTCCTGGAGATCCTGCTTGACTGTCGACCGAGGGTGCCGGGGACAGCGTGACCGAATTCGCGGACATTAACGATGCAAGATTCGCGGTATACGGGTTCTCCGTCCATGTCGGGGTTGGTGGATGCGAATGAGGGCTGAGGGGATACGCGGAGGGTCTTGTGGGGGTGACCGGACTACTGGGAAGACACCTCTGAAGCTGGTTAAAGTCTCTAGCCAGCATTGAGAGCACATTATGCAACACGTCACCAGCGCCAGGGCATCTTTCTCCCAAATCCGCCTTTGTTAGCAAGCAAAGCGCCTTGCCGTTCATTTGGAACATATCCATATCGAATTGGGGTAGGTCGAATTCCCGTTCGGCCCATCGAAGAAACGTCGTCACATCCTCGCGGGACCACAACCGTGGGTCTGAAGCTGTTCAACATATGCGTTTGGTTATTTTTACTTTTTCTTTTTTCTCCTGTCCTTTTTTATTTATTAAATAATCCATGATCTGTTAGAGTTACAGTTTCAAAGAACTCTAACTTGTCTTTGTTTATGAGAATCTAACGAGTGCTCGTGTTGAACTACTTTGTAATCAAATGGACTTGAATAATGGAGAATAAAGTGAAAAAAAAGATTGTATGATTATTTTTTAATAGTGGAAATGGTTTATCTTTGATTTCCCAAATTTTATATGTAAAAGATGATACATGTTAAATTAGATTTTGAGATAGGCTTTAGAATTTTTATTTTTGTTTTGAACTGATTATTTTTTTTTCCCAACATGTTTTTTGATTTTTTAATTTATTTTTGCATTATATTATCAATTATAATAATTTTTTAATGATATATTATAAATTTTTGATATTTATAAATGATATTTATAATATAAATGAGCAAAGAAATCTATTTTTTAAACCTATTCCAAATTCGAAAGTATTTTTATATTATTTACTGAAAAGAAAAATTATATTATTGTAAATTAAGAACAAAAATTTAAAAAATTAAAATAATTTTGTTTGTAATATCTCAAAATGTTTATCAAATCTAGATTTTAATTTAAATATTACTGGAAGACAACTTTTTTTCGTTATAAAATATTAAAATGAATATAATAGAATGTTAATATTATAAAATACATTTTATTTTTATCAATCTATGATTTAATAAATTCAAATAATATTATATAAATGAGTAATAAAATAATAATATAATATAAATAAAATAAATACATAAATTGATAATCTAGAAGAATATTTAATTACTTATAAAAAATACTAATTTTACAATATAATTTTGTTAGCAAGTAGTAGTTTGAAATTATATTTCATTTTATTGTTAGATTAGTTGTATATGGCAAA